AAAAAAATATATATCACCTAGTGTGTTACATTTACAAAAACAAACTCATAGCATAAATCAATAATTCAAATGAAAATTATCTAACATACATCTAAACTTAGTTATAAATTTCACATAGATAAAAGGCTTTACAAAACTATTGTAAGTAATAAATTTCACATCGATCGGAAACTTTACAAAATATGGATCGTAGCTAGCATATGTATGCTTTTCACAAAAATAAATATGAGATTCAAACTTGTTCTTACTTAGAAATCTTAGGAGCGCCTCATCACTTTCCAAAAAGTCCTCGTATCAACTTGTATGTATCCCCAGTGAGGAGCATGCACGACAATCTATTAATTTATGAAAATAAAAAAAAGTTAGTATATTGGCAAAAGAAAATTTATATATATATCAAAACACTTTCAAATTGAAATTACCTTGTTACATCCCCATCGAAGCAATCTAGTTGTATTTATATTTTTGAGCTCCATATATTTTTTAACCCAATCCTACAAAAGTCGACACATATAATAAAATATTTTTAAAATAACAATTTGTAATCAATAGAAACAAATTTATCAATAAATAAATTGTACCTTTTGACAAAAGTGGTTTGATCCATAAGTAACACTAACAAAATTTCAGGATAAACAATGTTTGTAGTAGAATATGGCTCATCATTGGGAAGGAGGACACTTATACGATCAAAGGATGTGCATCTAGATAGGGCCACATACAATTGCCCATGACTAAATACTGGTGTGCGCAAATCAACTCCAACAAATTTCATAGATTGCCCTTTAGATTTATTAATGGTCAGGGCATATGCCAATCGAACTGGAAATTGACGTCTTGTCATTCGAAAAGGCATTTTTGAAGAAGACGGTGTCAAGGATATCCTTGGTATGAATACCAAATTGCCACATTTTTCTCCAGTTAAAATTTGAGCTTCAATTATACGAGTATTGCATCTAGAAACCATCAATCTTGTGCCATTGCACAGTCCATCTTTGGTGCAATATTTCTTAACAACATTATAGGACAACCCAATTTCAACTCTACCTTAAAAGCCGGTAGCCCAGAAGGATCTAATGAATTTAAATATTCATTAGGATATCTATTTATTATAGTACGATCAATTTCACCATCTTCAGACATCTTGTCTGCTGCCAAATAAGTATGTGTGTTGCCGGGAAAAATATTCAATGCTGCAGTATTGATAGCATTGACATCATCATTCTGTGCAGAAAGAATTGTACGTTCAGTTAAAAATGTTGCAGTCGATGTCATTGCCACATCCAGTTGCGGATAAACTATTGAGATTATGTCTTTTAGATCTTGGCATTTGTGTATTGTTGATGGAAGTTTAACAATTTCCTGAGAATTGGTCCCAATCTATTTATAAAAATAAATAAATAAAATAGTAAGTAAAATCAATTAAAGTACATAAACGTAAATATATTTCGTCAATTTAAAAGAACCATATAATAGAGAAAAAGTTTGAAGAAATATTACCTCCATCAAGAATTTTGCAAAATTAGCATTTTCAAGATTTGCATGATTCAAGCGCATGTTCAAATTTAAAGACAGAACATGTATATCCTTCCATAGAAAAGAGTGTCTTAATGATGCATTCACAATTTGCTCACGGACTCCTTTGGTTATAACTGGTAAGATTTGTCGAAAATCTCCACCAAGAACAACAGTGATACCCCCAAATGGCTTTTCACTATCACAAGTGTCCCGAAGTGTGCGATCAACTGCCTCAACACAATGTCTATGCTGCATAGGAACTTCATCCCAGATTATAAGTTTTGTTTCTCTAAACAATTCTGCTTGTAATGATTGCTTGCTAAATCCACAAATTGAATTTTCCAATACATCCAACTTGTGGTGGAGAGCACTGAGTAAGAATAATAGTAAACAATCTCCTTAATTGATAACCAGTTTTCATAACTGCAGCCTCTTTAAGGCATTGTATCCATTCTTCATCATCTTCTAAAAGTCCTCTTGCAATACATGTTGATTTAAATGTATCATGCAAGACATTGTTGACCGTGCGTAAACATTGAAACGATTTTGGTCCTTTGACAACAGTTAATAGCAAACGCAAATAAAATCTCTCCCCACAATTAGGGCTAGCAAAGTGCATTCTACCGATTGCATAGGCCTGTTGCCTTGGTTTTCATCTCTTTTCTGAATTAAGCCAAACAAAATGTTGTGGAAATTCTTGGTAAGTGAATGGACATTCATCTTCCATAGAAGCGCAACATGCAAAAAAACCAGTAAGAGTTGACATTTGTTGGCCAGCTCTCAAAACAATTGCTTCTAATGATTCATCAGGATTAAAAAGAACGCGGTGCATTCCAGGTAAATGAGGTGCTAAGCGTACAACTGTTGGTATCTCTGCATGCAATGGATAACCAAATATTCGCCAAGCAACTTCTAGAGGTTCAATATACCTTGCATCGAGATATTGTTGGATCTCATTTATCAATCCCAACACCATCGTTGTACGATCATAACCCTTATAAATGTACTTGTGTATATACTTGACGCATCTCATTCCGGCACAAACTTCCATATTTATGTGACAGTTGAAACGTTTAGAAAGATATGCATTGTATGGTACGATGTCTTTGTTATCAACTTCTTTCTCCCTCACAATATGAGCTTGACTATTATTGCGACGATGATAGATAGGATATCCATCTTGATCCATAGTAGTTGTTTCTGCGAACGCTCGAGGGTATTTCTTAGTGCATTTATCATTTTCCATACATGGTGCTTGTGGATTTCGAGCACCACATGGTCCACGTACCATACAACACTTGATAGTTTCAAAAAGCATAGGTTCATCTTTTGGATCTGGAAATTCTGCACAAACCAATTTGTCTACTTGAGCACATGTCCGAATTTTGTCTGGACCCTTAAGAAATAGAAGTGCATGCATATGAGGAAGGCCTCACTTTTGGAATTCAATTGTAAAAACAGGCGCAACTTTATTACCAAACACTCGGTTTGTTTCTATCTCCTTCATCAAGCACTTTCTCTTTAACTCAAAAACACGGGCAATTAAATCAGGACGATCAATAGGCTTTTGGTGCGGTAATAATGCCGAAGTAATTTCTGGCCAATTAGGATTTGCAGTCATGGTGAGAAAAATGTCTGGATGTTGGTTGTATCATGTGATACCCATTGAGTCTTGAAAGATTTCAAACATGTGTCTAGGACCTCCAGCAAATGAAGATGGCAAAACAAACCTTTAACCAATTTGATTAGGTTGAAGATCATTTGGATCAATATCTGTCAAATCTTGGTAAAGTTCAGCACGGATCTTCCCTTGATTAAGTTTGTAGTAAGTCAACCTATTTTGTTCAGTTGCGGCCCAAGCATCAACCAAAAACTCTTGGAATAATTTTTCAGCTCTCAAAATTGTTGAATACTCTGTGGGTCGTTCAAACAAACGATAACTATAAAAACCCATTTGAGTAAGCCGATCAGTTGAAGGCCGATCACGTTCAACTTCCCAGGTTCCCATCCAAGCTCACCATGTGGAAATAATAAAACATAATGTAATGGCAAATATCCTGGGTGACATTCATTGATTTGCATTAGCTTATTATTTCCATGTAGATGTAAGATAACATCTCTCATTCCATTAACCTTGGTTCCATCACCTGATATTACAACTGCAATCTCATCTGTAGTTGGTAGGTCATACCGTCGTCGATCTGTCGATGAACTGTAGTGGATGAGCCTGGCAAAATTTCGTCTTGTCAAGGCTAATTGATTCAAAATTGCATGAGCTTGGCGAAATTTAGTAACGAATGCATAAACCTGTAATAAACTATCTTGAATAGTTTTTAGAACATCTCTTCTTAATTGAGGATTTCTACGATTACGAAGTTCTAAAGCTGAATCAGGGTCATAAATGTACAATTGCGCATAAGCTGCATCTTGCCCTGATTGTGGTAGTAGTGATCCTGTTCGATGTCGCAATTCTCCATGGATAGTGAATGATGTAGGGCCTCTTCCAGTAAGTACTCTTGGATCTAATGTAGCACCAAGACTTGTAAAAGCATTGGTTGCATTGTACACTCGAGTATAACGTCGAAACGATTTTGATTTATCATCATTCCCATCATATAATGCTTGAAGAAGTGAAGGGGGTGTAATAAGCAGAGGAAGCTTAACCTTCCCTTTTGAACAACATGTTCCGAATAGAGGACAGTTTGGAGATGATTTTACTAATTTTTCATCCATCCAATGTAATGCTTAACAGAAAGGACATAATACATTCATCTTGCCAAGAGAATGACGACATGAATTTATATGTGCTCGAGTACCAACCATTGGACTCATAGGCATATCCTCTAATTTCTCATTAGTACATAGATCCTCTTGAAGGGAAGAAGTTGTAAGAGTAGGCTTACAAATATTGGTTCTGTGTAAATTAAAATAGAATGGTAATAGTAGGAGTATGTATTTGAAAAATTAAACACAGTCAGGCTCATCCACTACAGTTCATCGACAGATCGACGACGGTATGACCTACCAACTACAGATGAGATTGCAGTTGTAATACCAGGTGATGGAACCAAGGTTAGTGGAATGAGAGATGTTATCTTACATCTACATGGAAATAATGAGTTAATGCAAATCAATGAATGTCTCCCAGCATATTTGCCATTACATTATGTTTTATTATTTCCACATGGTGAGCTTGGATGGGAACCTGAGATGTTGAACGTGATCGGCCTTCAACTGATCGGCTTACTCAAATGGGTTTTTATAGTTATCGTTTGTTTGAACGACCCACAGAGTATTTAACAATTTTGAGAGCTGGAAAATTATTCCAAGAGTTTTTGGTTAATGCTTGGGCCGCAACTGAACAAAATAGATTGACTTACTACAAACTTAATCAAGGGAAGATCCGTGCTGAACTTTACCAAGATTTGACAGATATTGATCCAAATGACCTTCAACCCAATCAAATTGGTCAAAGGTTTGTTTTGCCATCTTCATTTGCTGGAGGTCCTAGACATATGTTTGAAATCTTTCAAGACTCAATGGCTATCACACGATACAACCAACATCCATACATTTTTCTCACCATGACTGCAAATCCTAATTGGCCAGAAATTACTTCGGCATTATTACCGCACCAAAAGCCTATTGATCGTCCTGATTTAATTGCCCGTGTTTTTGAGTTAAAGAGAAAGTGCTTGATGAAGGAGATAGAAACAAACCGAGTGTTTGGTAATAAAGTTGCGCCTGTTTTTACAATTGAATTCCAAAAGCGAGGCCTTCCTCATATGCATGCACTTCTATTTCTTAAGGGTCCAGACAAAATTCGGACATGTGCTCAAGTAGACAAATTGGTTTGTGCAGAATTTCCAGATCCAAAAGATGAACCTATGCTTTTTGAAACTATCAAGTGTTGTATGGTACATGGACCATGTGGTGCTCGAAATCCACAAGCACCATGTATGGAAAATGATAAATGCACTAAGAAATACCCTCGAGCGTTCGCAGAAACAACTACTATGGATCAAGATGGATATCCTATCTATCGTCGTCGCAATAATAGTCAAGCTCATATTGTGAGGGGGAAAGAAGTTGATAACAAAGACATCGTACCATACAATGCATATCTTTCTAAAGTTTCAACTGTCACATAAATGTGGAAGTTTGTGCCGGAATGAGATGCGTCAAGTACATACACAAGTACATTTATAAGGGTTATGATCGTACAACGATGGTGTTAGGATTGATAAATGAGATCCAACAATATCTCGATGCGAGTTATATTGGACCTCTAGAAGCTGCTTGGCGAATATTTGGTTATCCATTGCATGCAGAGATACCAACAGTTGTAGGCTTAGCACTTCATTTACCTGGAATGCACCGCGTTCTTTTTAATCCTGATGAATCATTAGAAGCAATTGTTTCTAGAGCTGGCCAACAAATGTCAACTCTTATTGGTTTTTTTGCATATTGCGCTTCTATGGAAGATGAATGTCCATTCACTTACCAAGAATTTCCACAACATTTTGTTTGGCTTAATTCAGAAAAGAGATGGAAACCAAGGCAACAGGGCTATGCAATCGATAGAATGTACTTTGCTAGCCCTAATTGTGGGGAGAGATTTTGTTTGCGTTTGCTATTAACTGTTGTCAAAGGACCAAAATCGTTTTAATGTTTACGCACGGTCAACAATGTTTTGCATGATACATTTAAATCAACATGTGTTGCAAGAGGACTTTTAGAAGATGATGAAGAATGGATACAATGCCTTAAAGAGACTGCAATTATGAAAACTGGTTATCAATTAAGGAGATTGTTTACTATTATTCTTACTCAGTGCTCTCCACTGCAACCATATGCGTTATGGAATCAATTTTCAATGCATATATGTGATGATCTTGCACATAAGATTCGAACATTGTTTGCCATTTCTGAACCAACTGAGGCTCAAATTGAAGACTATGGTCTATATCTTTTGAATCAAATGCTCCAAGAATCAGGAAAAAGTTTAATTGACTTCCCGTTAATGCCACAACCTTCTACAAATTGGAGTGCAATAGTTGGTAACAGGTTAATATTCGAACATCAACAACTGCATAATGAGGCACAACAGGCAGATGCAGAAATTATTATTGATCGCCTCAACAATGATCAACGAACAGCTTATGATGCAATCACTTCCTCAGTCTTTGAAAATAAAGGAACTATTTTCTTTTTGAATGGAGGTGCCGGAACAGGGAAAACGTTTTTGTACAATGCGATTGCATTAAAGTGTCGCAGCCTTGGCCATATTGTTATTACTATGGCTTCATCTAGAATTGCATCATTGTTATTGGTAGGAGGTCGTACTGCTCAGTCAACATTTTCCATTTTGTTGAATGTATTGGAAAATTCAATTTGTGGATTTAGCAAGCAATTATTACAAGTAGAATTGTTTAGGGAAACAAAACTTATAATCTGGGATGAAGTTCCTATGCAGCATAGACATTGTGTTGAGGCAGTTGATCACACACTTCGGGACACTTGTGATAGTGAAAAGCCATTTGGGGGTATCACTGTTGTTCTTGGTGGAGATTTTCGACAAATCTTACCAGTTATAACCAAAGGAGTCCGTGAGCAAATTGTGAATGCATCATTAAGACACTCTTTTCTAATGGAACGGGATATTACATGTTCTTGTCTTTAAATTTGAAACATGCGCTTTGAATCATGCGCAAAATCTTGAAAAATCTGCTAAACCTTTGCAAAATTTCTTGATGAAGTTAATATTCTTCAAAACTTTTTCTCTATTATATGGTCTTTTTAAATGACGAAATTATTTACTTTATTTGTACTTTAATTGATTTTACTTACATATATTTTTATTTATTTATTTTATAAAATAGATTGGGACCAATTCTCAGGAAAATTGATTAAAACTTCATCCAACCCAATACACAAATGCCAAGATCGTGTAAAAAAGACATAATCTCAAATAGTTTATCCGCAACATGGATTGTTGCCAATGACAATCGACTGCAACATTTTTAACTGAACGTACAATTCTTTCTGCACAAGAATGATGGATGTCGTGTATCAATTCTACATGCAGCATTGAATATTTTTCCCGGCAACACACATAACTTATTTTAGCAGCCAGACAAGATGTCTGAAGATGATGAAATGATCGTACTATAATAAATAGGATATACCTAATGAATATTTAAATTTGTTAGAATCCTTCTGGGCGTTTACCGGGCTTTTAAGGTAGAGTTGAAGTGGGGTTGTCCTAACATGTTGTTGAAGAAATATATGCACCAAAAGATGGCGACTGTGCAATGAGCACAAGATTGATGAGGTTTCTAGATGCAATACTCGGCTAATTGAAGCTTCAAATTTTTAACTGGCAGAACAAATTGTTGCGGGCAAATTCGTGGCTCTTCATACCAAGGATATCCTGGACACCGATCTTCTTTCAAAAAATGCCTTTTCGAATGACAAGGACGTTCAAATTTCCAGTTCGATTGGCATAATGGCCCCTGACCATTCAATAAAAAATCTAAAGGGCAATCTGTTGAATTTGTTGGAGTCTGATTTGCGGCACACCAGTATTTAGTCAAATGGGCAATTGTTCTATGTTGGCCCCTATCTACGATTGCACATACCATAATTGAGATCGATATAAAAGATGTACCTACACTTACCCAATGATAGAGCCCAAGATATCATAATCAAAACAAATTAAGTTATCCTGAAATTTTGTAATAATAGTTTAATTATGGATTACAAAACCAATTATTGTCAAAGGATCAATAAATAATTTATGATAATTTGTTTTAATTGAATTTACAAATTGTTATTTTTAAAATTTTATACATATAATGATGATCGAAAGACTTTTGATAAGAGATAATGGATCGTTAAACAAATATATGGAGCAACAAAAATATAAAATATAACTAGAATTCTTCGAATGGGGATGTATAACGAAAGAAAAATTTAACCATTGAAAGTGTTTTGATATATGATGATAAATTTTCTTTGCTGAATATACTTAACTTTTTTTAGTTTTCATAATTAAAGATTGTCGTGTATGCTCCTCACGTGTTAGATACTTACAAGTATGATACGAGACTTTTTGGCAAAGTGATGCAGGCGCTCCTTTAGATTTCTAAGAAAGAACAGTTCTTGAATCTCATATTTAATTCTTTTGGAAAAGCGTACAATCTGCTAGCTACGATCCATATTTTGTAAGTTTCCGATGCGATGTGAAATTTATTACTTTACAATAGTTCAGTTAAAACCTTTTATCTATGTAGAAATTTAATACTAAGTTTAGATGTATGTTTAGATAATCTATTGCATTTGAATTATTTGATTTATGCTATTGAGTTTGTTTGTAAATGTAACACACTAAGGTGATAATAATATTTTTTTGTTTCTTCCCTAATATTATACTCTTGAATTAGGTTAAACCAAAACTAATCATTTTTATTTGGTTTAATCTGTTTATATCGGGAAGAGGGTGTTGCATTTTTCTTTTATTATTACAGAACATTGCTTGTGTTAGCTTAATTTGTTTATTTGGCATTTTTTTGTTTTGTATTGCAGAGCACTGGCATGGCTGGTGTGCTTAATTTGTTATTTGGCATTTTTTTTTGTATTGCAGAGCATTGGCTGGTGTGCTTAATTTGTTGTTTATTTTTTTCTATTGCATAGCGTTGGCTGGCGTATTTCGTCTGATTTTTATATAGATGTTTCTGTGTTGTGGGATTTACCTTTTGTTGTTTGTTTAAAATCTTATGCTTTTATTGTGCTTAAATTTTACATAGCAATTATGTATTTAACTTTCACTATTTCGTTTACCTATAAATTTGAAAAATTTATGTTCAAATTGATTTATTCACCAAGCAGCATACAATTTATTTATTTTTCATTTATTTAATTTTCTGCACAATAAACTGACCACCAAACCATAAAAATTGGTTGATTTTAACCATTACATTAAAATTGATGCAAAACTATGGCTTTGAGATCTCTCTTATTTACTTCAACCAAAATTCACTATCTAAAATAATGTGGATATAGAAATTTATTTTGGTACTGTTATTGGCTAGGATAATAAAATGCTTATTTTCTATTACAAATTGCAAGTGGGTTACATAAACAAAAATAATACAATAGTAAATATTTGGTGATATGATCTTTGTTTGCATTTGTGTCATCATACTATAATACTCCAAACTCTTTTCAAAAATCTAATTATAAAATTCATTTGAAAATTCAAAACCATACGGATCATCTATTTATATTTTCACCTCAAATTTTTTTTCCCAACAAATTAAATAAATTACATTTTAACCCAATAATTTTATATTCAATTAATGGTCACCATGCCTTCAGGCACGGGCATACCCTAGTACTATATATTAAAACAAATTTACTTTTCATTTAAAAAGCTCTATAAACATTAAAATATTAATCTAAATTTTTGTTTTTTTTCAAAAAAAAAATTAAATGTTAAGAAATACACACAATATAGAAGTATTAGTACATCTAAATATTTATAATTTTGAAATTTAAAAATCTTACTATAGAAAGTCAAAAAATAAATTTATATTTGACATAAACCATATATAATTTGAAATTTAAAAATCTTCAAAAGAAAATTTCAAATATAATTTTAATCTTATATAATTTAAAATTTTTAAAAACATTTATTTCCAAATTTACAACAGGTTTATTAATTAAAAAATGAAATTCCGCAGGGCAAATGTAAAGAAATTAAAAAATATATGTGTGTAATGTATATTTTTGTCCTACGTGTGTCCAAAAATACAGGGATGGTGGGCTTTCTTCCAAACCACCTCTTTGAGAAAATCGGTGATTTTCTTTGGATCGTAACTGTTTTTTTGGCAGATTTGTTTTTTGTTGTTGTTGTTGTTGTTGTTGTTGTTGAGAGGGTAATTTTTGTGAAAATTGGGCCGAGCTATGAGATGGTCATTATGGCCCAAAGTACGAAGGGCTGGGTAAAAAGGCCGTAAAGTTACTCCGGCCCAAGAGAGATAAAGTTACTCCGGCCCGAGAGAGGTACAAAATTACTCCGGCCGAGGAATGTAAAGTTACTCCGGTCCGGAAGCAACTTGGAGTTAGGCCGGTCTCAGAATTAGTCCGG